AATATTGGTCGTGTGTCGGTCGTTTGACTCTCCGTTTAACAAGGGATTGGGAATCAGTTGTGCTTGGTTATTGTACGAGATACATTTTTACCTGTTCTGCGGATTTCTTGATACTGCACTATGCATACCAAAGGATTGTAGGTCGCGTCCGATGACGAAGCGTGGCTCATATCCACATGCCACCCGGTCTTATTCCTTCGGGTTAACACTGGATATGGTGTGTGTGGATGGAGCTGTATGTGGCGCAGCAGCAACCACCCATAATCCCATAATATGCGCAGGCCTCCTTTGGCTGTTTTATGGAGGCAACAGTGGTAAGCAAATCCTGAACCTTATACCGCCAACCATGTTACGGATATCTCAGCATTGAGAAACCGTATTTGACATGGTGATGACATCGCACAGGAGCAAACTAGCCATTTATGGCCTCTTGTTACTGCTTCTGTAAGCACGTTGCTTCAATTTGGACATGATGGAACAATCCTACCCTAAACATTTGTTGTGCGGAAAATTGTGACAGAATTCCAACTTGGAATATGCTTATTTAGGTCGAGAAGTCAAACGTTAAAGTAATTCATTGCGGAAAATCTATAACTGGTATATGAAGAAAGCGGATCTATTGAAGCCGATGCATGGAAATAGACACCCCTTTCCAAGCATACTTAAATGATTTCAAGACTAGTGATAATGAGTGCGTGATACTGACATGCGTTCACCATATAATTCAACAACGAGGTAGCTCACACAAGCACCTACACACATGCCAACTAATTAGGATGGAGCAATTTCTCTGCATTCAAATGTTGACTGACGTCATCTATGAAACACAAGAGTGTACCAACTGAGTTACCCCTATGCGGGAATCGCCTCTCCCACCATCGAGAAATGAAAGAATTACCAATTTATTTAATGTGCAATTAGCTTCAATCAGTTTACTCATTGATATAACCACATCAAAACTAAGTGGTCCTGCGGTTCACAAAACATGCGTGACAGCAGGTATGTCCGCTGAATGTAGATGTGGAGCTTACTGGAAAGTGAGATGTTCAGCAGCATCGGAGGTGGAACAATATCACCCAGACCGACAGTGGAATATGCCAAGAAACCACTAGACAGCTGAGACAGAAGGACATTCAGTTCGCCAGCAGAAGGGATGTATCCTTCAGGCCTGTTACCAATGAGACGTATCCAGTGACTTGTGAGTTCCCGGTATTCTGTGGTTTCTCTATCCAAGAGTATTTTTAGGTGTGAATCGAAAGAGACTGGCAAATGTGAACTGGTGGCGCCTCCAGCTTTAATAGTGGCGTTGGGCAGCTTCTTTTTCCCGAGCTCAAAAGTAGTTGGATCGTTGGGGTGCTCATCTTCGATAGACAGCGTATCACCATGTGGATCAACCAGCAGACACATTGTTGCCGAGTTGATTTGAAATGAACCAGGCAAATTCTGTAAAGGGTTAGGGGTTAAAGCGCACAACGTGGAATACAAATAGGGTATATCGATAAGCTATACAATGCTGAATGCTCAAATAATGGAAACGGTTAAATGAGTAACTGCTCATTTTGCTGCTGTTGATACGACCGAACTTATATTTCTAATTAGTAGTGGAGGTTTCGACGTAATTTTACATGTAGTTCATCGCAGTTTCCTCTCAGTCAGGCAGGCTTCGGCACGTTTGTGTATGCTCCAGACCGCCGTTTCCTACTTCTGGGTTCATTCCTACGACGCCTGCCGCGTTCTAATCCTAAGTCTTACGGATGCCAGCAGCTTGTACCACTAAGCCATGAGTGACGGCTGCGGACCTGAATGCTTGGCATTTCCCGACGATATATCACGCTTCATCCTTCCCTGCTATATCAGTGACCAACTGTGCAGCGGATAGTGGTTGGTCACATAGTTACCACTTTGCACGACTGTGGATGACACAGCAATTAGATGTCGTACGAACGAAGTTTTACTAGCCTCTCAGTATCGGGCTATGACTGCCATTTTAAATGCACTAATTCATTGCAGGCCCCCTCCCTTATCGTTAATTTTTACTCTGCCCAATTAATTTACCTGCTAAATTTCTCTTGATTAGAGGCCACACGAGATCTTAAAGCATAAACGTGTGCATAAATCCATTTCACCTGTATCAGCATTTGCAAGAAGTTAATGCACCTTCAACTACAGATGAGTCTCACCTTGGCTTCGCTGAATGGAGTTCAGCGATAGTAACTCTACAGAATATTATCCGTACACCATACGATTTCAGGTACTGCTTAAATATCTACAGTTGACAAACTCTTTAGTTTAACTAGATACGCATCATTTTACTTGTAGTAGAAACCCATACGCGAGCATTTAGTGCTTTGCAAAAATTAAAATATCTACGCTTCGTACCTAAGGTGGGGATACGCACCCTGCTCAACAAGCCGTGCAAGCCAATTTATTTCCCTTTATTCCATAACGTAGCCGTAAAGTTTAAAGGAATTTCCACCCTGCTGCTTCCCGATTTGACCGAACTGATCAAATTTGCTTGTAAATTCCTCCTTCTGCGACTGTGTGACCAGAATAAAAATCATCGATTCCTGACACTTTTCTTACCAGATATATAATTATACGAGAGCGATTCAAATCCTCACTTGCTTGTGCAATTTTATACGATGAGCGTAGAGCACTGGGTCCCTATTAATTACTACATCAACGCAGGACAAAGGCAAATAAAGCCAGGTGTTAACATTTCGATTGCTCTCGTCAGTCATAGACATAATAAGTACAGAAGGTAAAGTGCATACGTGAAACGAAGGTATATGGATGTTTTCGTGTGATAGTTAAAGCATTGAGTTCTCTCTATCACTTTAAACAAGACAAATGGTGCCGTTTAAACAGTGCTCTTCTTTTACTTATCTTGATCAGAGAGATAGACAACACCATGAAATTCTAACTGACATCCTCAATTGCTCTAGTGCGCAAAGGGCTATAAGACTCTTAGTGACCAATTGCGCTTCACCCACTGACAACCGCTTACATCTGCTGCCATGCAGGTGCACTTTGGAAGTGTTCGATGTGTCCATTTGATAACCAGGGTCACAAAGTGCTGTGCGATGGACGAGGCGGGGTTCCGCTTTGTCACTTGACCCACTCCGCCTTGTTTTGTCATAGACTACCATGACCAACTTGAAGTGTTCGGCCACCTTTTGAGCCAGTTCTTGGTTAGTCCTGTAAACGTTACTATAACTACAGGTTAATATGAAAGGTCATACTGCCCGAAAGATTGATCGGATGGTGATGAAGCACTGCCTGTCGTGTGGTGTAGATGAATCGCAACTTTTGATTGCTTGAGTCCCATTTAGGGTGGGCCTGAGCTTGTGCCCACTCTTATTAACCGTGAGACTCCACGCGAACAGCCAAAGACAGAATGTCCCAGAAACTCGACATTTCCTGTAACTCAACTTCAGTGAAATCGTTGGCTATTTTCTTTGTCAATTTGTGCGCAATCGTTATACTGCTAGCTGATGTTTATCCAAAAACCGAAGTCAAAGAGACTGGTTTGAAGCAAGCATGTGGCTTGTAGACTCGCTACATTCTCGTCAATAAGGTTATCTGATATTATCTCTACGAACCCAGTTGGTGAGATAAGCATTACTTCAGGTATTCATAAGAACAATGCCGACGGTTTTCTTTGAAGGTTTTACCGCGCAGCCTTAAAATGTATACAATCGGACTGAAGGTAGGTGTAGGGGAATTTTAATCGTTTCACACGCACTCGTGGAGTAACCTATGCTGCTTAATCGGCCGCAACTAACAGCTGCATAAAGGACCTTTAAACTTAATTCACGCCACATTTACTACGAAAATCCCCTTGTATGTTAATCAACGCTCAACTAATAAGCAAAAAATGGGAACGACCTGTTACCCCAGATGTCCTTTGTATTGACAATAACTTATCTACTGCAAGTTCAACAGTAGGTAATAACTCGCAAAAAAACAAACCTAATATTCGCACCTCAACGAGCCTCTTTCAACAGCTAGAAAATACTACCCATCGCTCTACTGATAGGAATGTATAATTGCTTTCTTTTGCTAAGTTACAACCGATTAGTTGAATACATGTTAGCTGCTATCTGAATTTATTGAAATTCATCAACAATAGTCCTGCCCTGTCTATACCAAGTTCAGTGAACGAGGAAGAGTTGATGTTCTGAAGCTAGCCCACATAAGTAACGTATTACGCGCTGAGGATATGCTACAAGATGATCAGTGTAACAACAGATAAGCAGAAAATCTAACTTGTAATGCTAACATAAACAAAGCCCTACAGTAACTACTAAATTATGTATAATGTTGTCATTCGCTTCTTTTAATTACGAAATACAATAGTGGTTAGCTTTCTCGAAGAACGATAACAATAAAACATGAAAAACTTCTTTTGAACTTTACAAGGCCAATGTAGTTGGTTGCAATGAAAAGCTGAAGGTAATAATTCACGCCTTTTCTCTCAGCGACCATGAATCCACCAAGTTTGCTTGCCAATTCATCGAAACCAAAAAAGCTCAACTCAAAGACGTCCACTGTCTTCACGCTGAGATCTTGCAGCACCGTGACAAACAGTGGGAGAGTGCAATTACCCAACTCTATTCCGTATACCTGAAATTGTGTTAAGCCTAAATGGACTGATATCGATTTGGCCGAATAAAAGATTATGGGTGAAGGTAGATCAAACTGGTGCTAATATAACTCAACGTTGTAATTCGGGATGAACCTGCTTTTGAACATACTACTAGATACAAGCTAGCATCAGAATTTTTGTTTAACAAACTCTTAGGTGACTCATCCAGCAGGTTGACTTATTCACTGACAACGGGTGCGCATCCAACCCTTTGGTTTCTTAGATTCAGTCTGACGTAAACATCTTTCTCTCCTAGTCAAACTTTGTGAACGGGGATTTCATGGTCGATTGGTTCAATGGGAATATACATTTACACCCATTGACTACACTAACATAATAGCCGTGGAAAATACAACATGGAGAAATATACTGACATTTCACAACCTTTTGCCCAAGCCAGTTGCGAAATCTGTTGTATTTCTTGACAGCATGGCCGGAAGATAATTAAAGCGCTGGTTACGAATTCAACTAAAACGTCCTCTAAAAGTGACTATGTGACTATGTGAAAATATTCACGTGTTCATGGCGCGCACCTATGAAGGTCCGTAACATATATCCCAGTCCCATAGCTTCGATAAGTGGCGCAGATAAGAGTAAACTACACATATAATTTACCTTTAAGGAAAAGATAATCAATTAGCATTGATGATGTAAAGAGTATTGCGGCAGCCAGATTGGTTGGATTGTGTCGGAGGCATAGCCTGGGGTACGGGTATTGTGGTCTGCCTCGAGCGGCACATAGACGGGGGCGGCATTTTTGGTACCGTTGATTGTTCCATACCAACTATAAAATACAAACTATCCAGAAAGGCTAAGGTTAGCATATTATAATGTAACTCTGTATGACCAACAGCACCTTTACGCCATGTGTCACAACTGGGCAACTGATTTTCCTAGCGATCCCTTTACTAGTCCCACTGCGGTTACTTTCACCAATTTTAACTCAGTGTCCCAAATAATCATTAATTTCATCGAGAAGTACTGTGTACTTTACCCTCAGTCAATTTTAGTGGGTTACGGATTTACAGCTGTCAGGGGAGGGGTGCAAATCTTGCCATCGCCCCTAGCAGTAACACTAGATACTAAGTTACTGGATTGTGTATACAACATTTGTGAGGATTGAGTTGACACTTATGACTTGTCGTAGTCAAAAGAGGAATGCAACTGCAAAGTTGAACCAAGAATGCTTTGCAATTGTAATACGCTTTCATAGTATGCATACATGTTGAATTGCATGACGAGTTGATGGGTTGCACTCCTATTGGGAAAGATCTCGTGGTATCCACCACCTCAGTACCATCGAAAGCAGTTACATAGTTCCTATTCTTAATCGTTAAGTGACACGGGAGCACTTGCCAAGAACACAGCTTTCAGACGAATGTTTAGCATCTGTATCAAGCATCTGCCTCAACCAGCGCGCACATCTCTCCTTATCGTAGCTGCCCCTTAGAACGGAATACCCCAGCAATCCGTCCGCAGTCATTGCGCTTATTAGGTGCAAATTTTGTCTCCGACTGTTAGCCACCGTACAGTGTGCACGGGTGCCGCGTGACGATCGATTCTTTGTGCGTACGCAGAACAGATTGAAGTTTGTCTCATCCATCCATACTGCTCGCCGTCCTTCAGCCTCCATCCTCATCAGTGTCAGGAAGTAAACCTTCTTTAGACTCTTGTTCTCTATGGTATTCACAGTTTTCGGTATTGAATGCAACAACTTCATGATCATGAGCCGACCGTCCAGGTAGCAAGCAATGGTGCTGACGCTTACCTCCACCTCGAACTCACCCTTCAGTCG